CGAGTATAGAGAATTCATTATATGTAAAAAAGTTATAATTGAAATAGTCATAGCGATTGAACTATAAATAATTCCAACGTTTCGTCCAGCTAACTTGTCTGGACCTCTTCAGGGAAGCAATCAAAATCAAAATCATCAACGAAATATGCAAAGTGTTTTTTGCTTAACAATCATTTCATCAAAATCTCTACTACTTTTTAATCCAATCATATTTGGATGTCGAATATTTTTGTTGTAAACAGGAAAATATGAGTCAGTTGAATGAGAATCAAGTGAAAAGTTCAACAATGTAAAATAAAAGGAGACTGGATGAATTGTGTGTATGTATGTATGTGTAAGATGAGTTATTAATGAATGATAATCAGTGTTGATATGTTTCTATGTGAAGTAAAAATAAGAATAAAAGTGCAAAAATGAAGGTTGTAAAGTTTTTTTTTCTGAATCATCGAATTTGCAAATAAAATGAGACATTAACACCGTTGGATGCCAGCTCAGTGGTCTATCGGTTAAGGGCTTCTGCTCGAGACTGGTAGGTCCTGGGTTCGAATCTCGCGAGAGCGGGTTCGTGGATGCGCACTGCTGAGGAGTCCCATAATAGGACGAAACGGCCGTCCAGTGCTTTAAGGTTTTCGATAGTGGTCTAGCTTCAATTGACTCATGATTTCAACTTTGAAAAATGAGAATCATCATCAAGTACATAAATTGTAATGCTAAACATAACTCATATTGATTTCAGTCATAATAACGATTCATGTGAAGTAAACAGGTTGAATAAAAGAAGAAAAGGTCAAATTACTTGTTGATGAATATTTGCCAAATGGTAGCTAGCTGAATACCATCCTTTATGTTTAGGCTGTTCTTATTCGCCCATAAATACAGCGCTTCTGCTGTCAATCTTTCTTTATGAGTGTTGAAACCTTTCTGAAGTATTTTCGCCCCTTCAAAATTAATCATGTGTCCCGTTTCTAACGCATGTAACGCTATTGCAGACTTATTCTCAAGTTTCCTTAAGTCAACCGAAGTTTTGGGAACATTTTTTAAAGATTGCTTGTGTTCCTTCAACCTTACCTTCAATTGTCTGGATGTTTCTCCAATAAAGCCGCATTACAATCATGACAATTGATCTCATAGACAATATTTTGTTGTTCTTCCTTTGGTAACCTAACCTTAACCTTCACCAATGACGATCTTATAGTGTCACATGTTCTAAAGTACACTCTTATATCATGCTTGTTTAAGATCCGTTTGATTTCTCCCAATGTTTCTAACCTTGACGAATATTCGTATAAATTATTTTTCAATCGAATTAAGTTATCAAAGAAAATACATAATTGGTACAATCACAGAATTTTTAAACTACGATGTTTAAAACAAAATGTTTTTCCTAAATCTTTGTTCGTCAAATCTCCTGACAAATCTATTCGTTCAATCAAAGCGGCGATCACAAACACTCGAACTTTTATCAGGGAGCGTATTCACATAGCCACTATGAATTTGGAGTCACTACGTTTAAGGATAAAGAATATCGATGAAATTCTGTCAGTTATCGCACCGAAAGAAATAAGATCTAATATAAAAGAATTTTTCAAACTCAGAGAACAGTTTTATCATCAATCATCAAAACTACGACAGATTAGAAAGTTCGAAAAAATGTTGAAACATGCGTCAAGCAGCAAAGTTAAACAAATTAGAGATAAATCGAACACAGTAGATATTAACAAAGTGTTAGTTAATTTATCTGATAGAATTCTCAACTCCCATGAAATTTCATTACTTAAAAAGGGTTTCAATTTCAATATAAATAGACCACAATTATCGTCTTTCAATATTATACCAGCAATTGAACCAGCATTGAATATACTTCCTAATGAAACAGCGAATGAATTGAGGAATAAGATAATGTCCGCGTTATTACGTCAAAAAATCACAAAAATCTAATATGACTAAAAATGTGTTACATGCATTGAAGCAACTGAGAAATGATAAGACAATTATCATTACAAAAGCAGATAAAGTTAACACTACAGTCATTATGAACAAAATTGACTACGAGAGAAAAGCCAAGGAACATCTACAAGAGGGACCGTATGAACTAATCAAAGATGCAAAAAGCAGAACGACGGTCAATAAACTTAAGGCGGAAACAAGTAAAATCTTACATTCGTTAAAGATCAAACTCGGAACGCCATTATGGTTTTTGCTAAATCCAAAAAGTTGTAACCCTCGTAGATTATATGGACTCCTGAAGATTCACAAGGATAGTACTCCACTGAGACCAGTGGTCGATTTCTCAAATTCACCGACTTACAACCTAGCGAAATACTTAGCTAGGATACTAAAACCGCATGAAAAACTGATTAATCATGGAATTAAAAACTCTATGGAATTTAAAAATATTATTGATACCATCGACATTGAAGAGGATGAAGTAATGGCAAGTTTTGATGTTTCTTCCTTATTTACTAACGTACCTATCAACAGAGCGTTGGATATTATTTATGCTTGTTTAGAATCTGATTTGGATTTAAATTTACGTTGCCCGTTAGATCCATCTGAGTTTATTAAATGTTTGGAACTATGTTTAAGGTCCACCTTATTCATATTTCGAGGAGATCTATACAGACAAAAAGATGGTATAGCTATGGGTTCACCAGTTTCTCCGATTGTTGCGAATTTATTTATGCATTAACTCGATACTAGTGCAATTGCAAGAAGTGTTTGTCCACCAAAGGTCTGGCTACGGTATGTAGATGACATTTTTGTTATCATTAAACAGGACTATTCGGAAGAATTGTATACAAATGTGAACAACATTTCGGAACAAATTAATCTAACGAAGGAAATAGAGTCTGTTGACCACAATCTGGCATTTCTCGACTGTATGGTTGAGCGAAGACTTAGTAATAGGAAGTTGAAAATAAATGCTTTCAGAAAATCTACACATTCAGAGAGATACTTAGATTTTGATTCGGCTCATGCTTTATGTACGAAAGTTACGGTTGTTAAAAATTTAATTAACAGAAGTCTTAAGCTTGTTACATATAGGAAGACCAACAATATGAATTGAATAGGATTTTATCTACACTTAGGGATAACAATTACCCAAAAGAGTTTTTAAAGAAGATTATTAGAAAGGAAAGAAAAGCTAAACTACAACATGTACAGAAAGATTGGAAGTCCACTGTAGTCATACCATACCGTAACTAAACATCGGAAGAAATCAAACGGATCTTAAACAAGTATGACATAAGAGTGTACTTTAGAACATGTGACACTATAAGATCGTCATTGGTGAAGGTTAAGGTTAGGTTACCAAAGGAAGAACAACAAAATATTGTCTATGAGATCAATTGTCATGATTGTAATGCGGCTTATATTGGAGAAACATCCAGACAATTGAAGGTAAGGTTGAAGGAACACAAGCAATCTTTAAAAAATGTTCCCAAAACTTCGGTTGACTTAAGGAAACTTGAGAATAAGTCTGCAATAGCGTTACATGCGTTAGAAACGGGACACATGATTAATTTTGAAGGGGCGAAAATACTTCAGAAAGGTTTCAACACTCATAAAGAAAGATTGACAGAAGAAGCGCTGTATTTATGGGCGAATAAGAACAGCCTAAACATAAAGGATGGTATTCAGCTAGCTACCATTTGGCAAATATTCATCAACAAGTAATTTGACCTTTTCTTCTTTTATTCAACCTGTTTACTTCACATGAATCGTTATTATGACTGAAATCAATATGAGTTATGTTTAGCATTACAATTATGTACTTGATGATGATTCTCATTTTTCAAAGTTGAAATCATGAGTCAATTGAAGCTAGACCACTATCGAAAACCTTAAAGCACTGGACGGCCGTTTCGTCCTATTATGGGACTCCTCAGCAGTGCGCATCCACGAACCCGCTCTCGCGAGATTCGAACCCAGGACCTACCAGTCTCGAGCAGAAGCCCTTAACCGATAGACCACTGAGCTGGCATCCAACGGTGTTAATGTCTCATTTTATTTGCAATTTCGATGATTCAGAAAGGAGAAAAACTTTTTCAACCTTCATTTTTGCACTTTTATTCTTATTCTTACTTCACATAGAAACATATCAACACTGAATATCATTCATTAATAACTCATCTTACACATACATACATACACACAATTCATCCAGTCTCCTTTTATTTTACATTGTTGAACTTTTCACTTGATTCTCATTCAACTGACTCATATTTTCCTGTTTACAACAAAAATATTCGACATCCAAATATGATTGGATTAAAAAGTAGTAGAGATTTTGATAATATGATTGTTAAGCAAAAAACACAATGTATATTTCTTTGATGATTTTGATTTTGATTGCTTCCCTGAAGAGGTCCAGACAAGTTAGCTGGACGAAATGTTGGAATTATTTATAGTTCAATCGCTATGACTATTTCAATTATAACTTTTTTTCACATATAATGAAAAACTATAAATACATGAGACTTTTATACTATATTTGACATTGTGTTGGGAAATACATTCCTACTTACTAGTCTTCTGTCTTCTCTTGCGACGTTGCGGGTTTGATCGTTCAAATAGTCTAGTAGTACGTAGCATAGCAAGAATCTCAGCTCTAGATATAACAGTAACCATGTAGAGACAAGTATATGAAGAGGAAATCTTGCCTTAACCCATTATTTATTCATCAAATACTAAACAATGTGTCAATCTATTAGATATTTCAAAAAAATCTTTAGAAACACAGTTACATATGTACACAATACATTAGAAATATCTCTTAATGTCACTTAGTACTGTTTATTTAAATCTTCCCATTGATGTTTAGGACTGCAACTGCTCAGTCTCTAATTGGCATATGTGCATAATTTGCCAGAGTGAACATCAACTCTGAGATGAAGGTACATTCAGCTGACGAATCCCAAATAGGACAAAACGCGCGTAAAACTAGATGCCACCGCTAGCTACTATCCATCTTTGCTTACGATGCTCGTGATTTAAAGCTATATCGAGGCAATATGCATAGTATGTGTCATCACTTGACCTAGTCCTTTCAAATTGGCTACTTTATTACGAGCTGAATTAGAGCCAAGAGAAAATGGACTGACAGTTCGTCCACCAGCTTCTTGTTCCTGTTGTTGAAAGCTAGCAAGCCACATTAGTTCTAATGTATCTGGATTTTTGCCAGACATAACCTCAGTTAATTTATTTACAGTGGCAGCACATTTTGTTTGTTCTTTTTTATAAGCTTGAGTCATTCGTTCAAGTTCAATGCGTAATTGAGCTACTTCACTGCTAGCGCATGCTGCTCGTTGAGTCGCAGCATGAGCGCTTTCTTTGGCATTCTGTGCAGCTTCTAGGTACCGAGCAGATTTTTGTTGTTGTTCTTCATTAAGAGCTCTTAAAGCAGCTTCATATTTTTCACAAGCTCTTTTATTTGCTTTGCAACTTTTCGCATAATGATCATGCAATTATTCAAGTTCACGAACTTCTCCCCTACTACATAACAGTATGCACATATGCCAATTAGAGACTGATCCATTACAGTCCTAAACATCGATGGGAAGATTCAACCAAACTCCGCCTGTAGCTCCTCTGGGGGTTACTGCCGGTCCCAAGCCCGGGTAAAGGAGGAGGGTTGGGCATGGGGTTAGCGACCCCATCCCGTAGAAAATCAACTCGCTAAAAAAACGCTATTGAACAAGCAAGTGGCTATCAGGACTCAGTAGCTGAGTGGATAAAGTGATGGCCTGATAGCCACTTATCACTTGAAGCGAAAGGTACTGGGTTCGAGTCCCAGAGTGGACATCAACTCTGAGATGCAAGTACATTCAGCTGACGAGTCCCAAATGGAACGAAGTGCGCGTCTTCAATTCCACTATTAGCCACTATCAATCTCTGCTTAACTTTACCTAATTACCTTTAATGTATTACATAATAAAACAATAAGTTACTTAGGCAATCATAAATTGGAAAATATCGAAATTATAAAATAGTTAGAATTGGTACCCTCTATTTTATCCTATTGTATGCGTGCCAATGAGGAGTCTCATTCAAGGACCAAAAAGCTGTTCAACATTTCTAGCTTTTAAACAGTTTAAGCTAATTCTTTCTTTAGATAAACTTGAGTAGTGTAACAAGAACCCTCCTCTCTCATACACATGAACAAATGTAGATGAAGACAACAAATGTAGCAGCAGTCTCTGCATCGATAGGTCTCCACATTCACAAAGGGAAAAAGCAAGATTCTCAAATGCAACACGGAGGACACCAACCCAATCACACTTGATGGCAAAACTCTGGAAGAGGTAAAAACATTCACGTACCAGGTCACAGTATCATTGATAAACAAGGATGTAAAGGCGAGGATTGGCAAAGCAAGAGCAGTAAGTGTAACAAGAAGACCAAGATAATCAGAATGATGTCATATATTACTTACTTACTTACTTACGCCCGTTACCCCTCGTCGAGGAGCATAGGCCGCTCACCAGCATTCTCCATCCAACTCTGTCCTGAGCCTTCCTTTCCAGTTCTTTCCAGTTGCTATTCATCCTTTTCATATCGGCTTCTATTTCCCGGCGTAGTGTGTTCTTTGGCCTTCCTCTTTTCCGCTTCCCTTCCGGATTCCAAGTTAGGGATTGAGTCGTGATGCACATTGGTGATTTCCTTAATGTATGTCCGATCCACTTCCAACGTCTTTTCCTTATTTCCTCTTCAGTTGGAAGCTGGTTTGTCCTCTCCCATAAAACGCTGTTGCTGATAGTATCCGGCTAATGGATGTTGAGTATTTTGCGTAGACAACTGTTTATAAATACTTGTACCTTCCTGATGATGGCCGTAGTAGTTCTCCACGTTTCAGCTCCATACAGTAGGACTGTCTTGACGTTCGTATTAAAGATTCTGACCTTGAAATTGGTTGAGAGTTGTTTTGAGTTCCATATGTTCTGCAATTGTAGAAATGCTACCCTTGCTTTGCCAATCCTTGCCTTTACATCTGCATCTGATCCTCCTTGTTTATCAACGATGCTCCCCAGGTACTTGAATGTTTCCACCTCTTCCAGAGTTTCGCTATCAAGTGTGATTGGGTTGGTGTTCTCCGTGTTGCATTTCAGAATCTTGCTTTTTCCTTTGTGAATGTGGAGGCCTATCGATGCGGAGGCTGCTGCTACATTTGCTGTCTTCATCTACATTTGTTCGTGTGTATGAGAGAGGAGGGCTAGGTCATCTGCGAAGTCCAAATCATCTAATTGATTCTGAGAAGTCCATTGTATTCCGTATTTCCCTTCAGATGTCGAATTCTTCATAATCCAGTCAATCACTAGAAGGAAGAGGAATGGGGAGAGTAGACAGCCTTGTCTGACTCCGGTCCTTACTGGAAATGCATCTATCAGCTGCCCTCCATGCATGACTTTGCACTGTAGTCCGTCGTATGAGTTTTGGATAATGTTGACAATCTTTTCAGGAACTCCATAGTGTCGAAGAAGTTTCCATAATGTTCTTCGGTCCACGCTGTCAAACGCCTTCTCATAGTCGATGAAGTTGACGTATAGTGATGAGTTCCACTCAACTGATTGTTCAACGATGATCCGTAGTGTCGCAATCTGGTCTATGCACGACCTATCCTTACGGAATCCAGTGTGATGATCCCTAAGTTCGGCGTCTACTGCGTCTGGTTTGAATTATTTTTTCTGGTTAGCGTTTTTTTAGAGAGTTAGCTTTTCTACGGGATGTCATATATTAACCTAATACATTTCGAACAATCTGATAAAACATATACTTGGTAAGAACATTTAAGTGTGAAATATTGACACGTCAAATAGACATATGGAAGATAAGACAACGAAAAATGATCAAGGAAATAATGCCAAAAAAAGTTATGGGAAACTCACCATGTTGGTTAAGCAAACAATACCACCAAAGTAATTTTCGAGTGTGGACATACTGTTTTCAAACACATAAACGGGTTTTTCCAGTTTCCATATGTCCTGGACTTCAATAAATCCTAGTATACGAACTTGAACAATTTTGTAAAATACAATAAAAGTCATGATTTATTTCAACTATGCATCTAGCAATAGGGGATGATGGATATTTATTATCTACTCTTATATGATCATTTGGTTTAATTTGTTATTGCAATCATTTCGGTTCATGTTCAAACGCTGTGATTTCAAAATCCCGATTATCTATTTACTTACTTACTTACTGCTGTTACCACTCGTGGTCGACCGCAGCCTGTTCATCAGAACTCTCCATCTAACTCTGTAATAGGCAATCCTCTCCAGTTGGTTCCAGTTGCTATTCCTTCTTATAAGTAATAAACAATTACAACTACAAGACTTTCTGGCTTCAGCCTAAACACTATATTTTCTAATAACTGACCTAGGATCATATAGTGTGGATTCAACAACTTTAATCAATTTTCTGTAGGGGTTTGTAGCAATTGTTGAATCTTATTGAAATCATGCACCAATCAATCTTAAATTACCATTGGGCTCCTGAAAGCAATGAACGGCCGTTCCCTCCTAGTATGAAATTCCTCAATGTTGTGCAACCATGACCCCGCACATGGGACTCGAACCCAGAAAATATATTTCATCATAGTTTTACATTAACCTCAGAAAATATTTATCTTCTTTGGCCTACAGTTAAAACTATATGAGACTGAATTCAAGACCACTGCATTAAAATTCAAGGACCAGCATTTTGAAATACACAATTACCGATCATAATTATCAATAAATGGTGGTCTAGCTTCAATGGACTCATGATTTCAACTTTGAAAAATACTGAAATCTCCACAAATCCCCTTCTAATTATAATCACATGCTCACTAGTGACTGACTTCAAGATACATGTCCTGGAGTTCTAGTGGAAAGCAGTGACTAGTGGAGTTCAACCACGTCTGTTGTGAGATAGGAACTCACTGAAGACAATTGGTGAATGGTTACTCAACTTCGTGGATCAGTTGAAGTTAGACATTAATACCATTGGATGCCGGCTCAGTGGTCTGTCGGTTAAGGGCTTCGGCTCGAGACTGGTAGGTCCTGGGTTCGAATCTCGCGAGAGCGGGTTCGTGGATGCGCACTACCACTGAGGAGTCCCATAATAGGACGAAACGGCCGTCCAGTGTTTCCAGGTTTTCGATAGTGGTCTAGATTCAATTGACTCATGATTTCAACTTTGAAAAATAAATAAATCACGAGGTGGAATCATAAATGCGCACTGTAATTGAAGAATCCCATACTAAGATGAAACGGTCGTTCAGTGCTTTCAGATTTTTCCATAATAGTCTAGCTTCAATTGATTCATGCTTTCAATTATGAAAAATACTGAAATCATCACAAAAACACCCTTCTGATAATTATTGAATATGCTTTCCATAAAACAAAGAAAAAATATACCATACTATATTGAAGAGTTTTTTTTTGTTTCCTTCTAGAAAATCTAATTGTCCTTACAATGAGATCAAATGGATATTCATTTTAGGACAAAATAGTTTCTCTTTTCTTTTTCTTTTCTTTTTTTTTTGAAGTGTAATTAATAACTTCGATTTATGTATACACTACAACAAAAAGGAAAGAGAGAGAGAGAGTGAGTGAAAGAAAAGGAAAGAGGGAGAAAGAAAGAAAGAAAGAAAGAAAGAAAGAAAGAAAGAAAGAAAGAAAGAAAGAAAGAACAGAACAGAACACAACACAACAGAACATTGAATGATGTTAGACGTTCTTTACACTTGAAATAAACATGATTTATTGATTAAATAAAAAAAAATATATTAAAAAAATTTATGTTTCTATGTGACGTAATCATAAAAAAGTAACTTGGCAATAAGTAAGGAAATGAATAAACATTGATTAGTTAAAGATTAATTTCCACCCCCTCCCCTCTCCCTATTTTTGGCAAATAAATGGAATTCATTTTTGAAATTTAGAAAAGTATAGAAAGTGTAGGACTAATTTATTTGACTGAAAGTTGTAATTGTAAACAAGACTAGGATCTATGGACGACCTTTAGCAATTATGCCAAAACCTTGAAAAAACACCAACTGTTTATTAAGGTCAATATGTGATTATAAATTAAAGTGAAGAATTAGGATTAGAAGTTAAAGTTATAAAATTAGAGTTTAGATTCTCTTACCCGAACTGATCACAGTATGTAAATGTGCTAATAAGAGACTGATCCATTGCAGTCCTAAACATCAATGGGAAGATTCAAAACAAACAATACAAAGGGAATTTAAACTTCATCCCATTGCACAAGCAAGTGGCTATCAGGACTTAGTAGATCAGTGGATAACGTGATGATGTTTGAAGTGAAAGATACTGTGTTCGAGTCCTAGAGTGAACATCAACTTTGTGATGCAGGTACATCCAGCTGACGAGTCCCAAATAGGACGAAATGCGCGTCAGACTGGATTCCACAACTAGCCACTATCTATCTTTGCTTATAATTTCAGAAATTGATTTAGATATATATGGTAGTTGCCATATATCTGTCTGGCCAATAAACTCTTTTTTCTGATCTTGTCGTACTTTCTGTTAATGCTGAATGTCGATGTGGATGCTTGTTCTGCAGTGAATTTGTGCGATTTCAACGTTGTCTGTTTTTTTCAGTGCTCTCTAAAAGCTCTAGTTTCATTCTTTCAATACTAATAGTGTCATATTTATCTACTTTTTCTACTGTGACTGTTTAGCTGTCTTTCTGCATGATTATGAAAGGACCATCGTACGGTGTCTACAGCGAGTGTCGTATTTTATCATTACTGACGAATACATGTAAGCATTTATCTAATTCACTGAGCACGAATGGTCTTCTTTTCTGTGTTCGTTATTTGATGAATTTAATGGATTCCATCTGTCATTTTAATAGCTGTACATAGTCGGTTATGTTTGCTGAAATATCTGTTGCAGGGTCAAAACGTTCACGTAACATTGTTTCCAAGATCCAACTCACCAGCACAAAAATCGATGTTTTGTTTAGTAGTTGAATGGATGACTAATAATATCAAAAGAAGCTTGACATCTCATTTGTAATATCTCCCAGTGGCTATCATTGAGGCTTTTAGCTGTCGATGGAACCTTCTTATCATCCCGTTTGCAGTCGGATAGTTGTCTATGTTTCTAGTACTCTTTATGCCTAAAGTATTTGTAAGTTGTTGAAAAATCTTGCTTTCAAACTGGGCTCCGTAGTCAGTCGTAGTTATTTTTGTGACACCAAAGTTTACAACCCAGTGGTGTACTAATTTCTTTGAAAATGTTGATACTGGCGTGTCTAGTGAATGCGTATACCTATTGGAAATCGGTAACGATTCAATGATATCGATATAAACGTGGTAGAATCTAGAGCTATCTGCGAGGTATGATGCATCTGTGAACTTTCAACGTCTAGCACTAGATACACTCTCGTGTCCATTTTCATAAATCTTCGTGTATATTTAGCCATAGTAACTTATCTTTAATAAGATTTATTGCGGCTTAAATACCTAGATGAGATATGTTATGTAATTTTTCAAAAATGTCTTGTTTCCTATCATAAGGTATCAGGAGGCGAGTTTTACCTGTTGAGATATCACAGATCAATGTGTCCATGTCATCTATAGAGATGTTTTGAAATAACAATGTTGTTTCCGTAGATGGCAAAAGATTTTCTAGCTCCATGACGAGTGTTTGATTCTTTGCCATGACTTGATAACTTATATCAGGGATTGAGAATGTATTGCTTTTTAATCTCGATAATGAGCCCGGTGTATTGTCAGTTGCAAAATTCGAAATGAATTCCACTAGATGAATTTCTCACAGTCTATGTGTACCAAGGCTTTAGTTAGAGGTTTATGGTCGTAAACATACTAAAGAAATCTCTCTCTAACATCCATAGAAAGTGCTTGATGGCTAAGTAGACAGTTGACAGTTCTCTACTGAAGGCGCTATATTTTGTCTGTGTCGTTTCTAACTTTTTCGAGAAAAATGAATGGAGTTGCCATCGTTAATTGACAGGTTACTGAAGTTCAGCACCTATTACTACATCATAGGCATCGGTCATTACTGCTAAAGGTGATTTAACATTTCGCCTTACAACCAATGCCTCTGTGCCTAATGCGTTTCCCAACTGTTCACATGCTTGAGTCCCTTGTGGTTTCGTCGTTATTGATTCAGCGCGTCCTCTTAATAAACCTGTCAGAAGTTTCAGTATGTCAGCATATTTCGGAATAAAACATCGGGTAAAAGATCATTTTTGATAGTTTGCGTTCCCTAAGGAAATACTTCGTTACCTTGATTTCACAGTTTATTCAATTCTCATCTGATTACATAATTGTTATCCTTTATAATGAATGAATCCAAAAATTCTGTTAACTACTTCGATCTTGAGATTAATAGCTGAAGGTACTGGGTTCGAGTACCAACGGAAACTTCAATATTGAGAAACAGGCATACACAATAGATAAGTTCCAAATAGGAAGAAACTTGATCCCAGCTGGGGATGGAATCCAAGAGTTTAAGATTTCTTTCTCAATAAGCTAATGGAATTGGCACGCAATGATGCACAGTTCCAACTTCAGTCAACCAGAGATATTTATCAACTATTATTCACTGTCACTAGTGTCATTTGTTAGATTTCCAACATGATTGAGGTTTACCAGCTATTACTTCTCACTGAAACGTCTCAAAACCTGCCTCTGATAAGTAAATCATAATTATCACGATGAGAAACTCGTGAAATATCAATTCCCGTGACCGTTTAATTCAGACACAATCCTAATATGCTTACTGATTCATTGATGCCAGTGAGATTAAGAAAGGAGTAGAGAGCTAAAATTGTTAAATGAACTAAAGTGGTCCGTAGACAATAGGTATACACATAAACCTTTTATTCTGATCAAGACAATGTCTGAGATGTTGACTAGGTGCATAATCATCTTCCAATAGCCTATCTTGTTTATAATCTCATCAACTGTTTAACCTTGAGATATCGTGTGAGCACAGAGATGTGAAATGTCTAGACTCCTCTAGCTTACCAAAAGGAGTGATTAATTCAAAGACAGTTTACATAAATTTACAATCTTGAGCTCCATACTACAAAGAAATAGCTCCCCAGTGCCTTTAATTTTCAGTAGTTCCCTAACTAATATTAATCCATGCTCTTAGCTGTCTTCAAATCAAATTATCTGTACAATTCCCACTTACTTATTGATCTGTCGGATTAGATTACTTTAGAGAGATGCTTGGTACTCAATAAAATCTTGTTGGTATTACCTACAAGTGACTGTTTAAAAACATACGAAGTCGACCATATAACCTAAAACAAAAATCTGTTATTAGTTCACTTGTATATTCAATTTCAATTAATCTTCATACTTGAAAATCGCCTACACAGTTGAAAATTCAAACACAGCTGAAGATAATTCCTGGAATTCTAGTGAGAACCAGTAACCAGTAGAGTTCAAACCACGTCTGTTGTAAGATAGGAACTCACTGAAGACAATTGGTGAACGGTTGCTCAAACTTCATGGATTGGTTGAAGTTAGACATTAACATTGTTGGATGCCGGTTAGCTCAGTGGTCTATCGGTTAAGTGCACTGACGTGAGACTGGTACGTCCTGGGTTCGAATCTCGCGAGTGCCGGATCGTGGATGCGCACTGCCACTGAGGAGTCCCACGATAGAACGAAACGGTCGTCCAGTGCTTCCAGGTTTTCCATAGTGATCTAGCTTCAATTGACTCATACGTTCAACTATGAAAGCTGAAGTAATTTACATTATCATTCAAAGTTTAACACAAAAGCTAACAATAGTAAAAATCAAGAATTCTTTATTATACATATACATATACTTACAATACTTTATGATATGTATACATATACTACTAATGATTTATACACAATTCGTGCAATTTTACAAAGATTGAAAAGAACAATAAATGAGAGAGGGGGAGTAAGATTTGTAAACGAACAAATACATACATACATACATACATTAATAGATATAGCCAGAGATATTCCAATAGGTGTAGTGTGGTCTATTTTAGGATGGATGATAAAAAACCTTTCACCCATCTTGTTTGTCAATGTTGACAAACCGTAGTGGATTACACAAAAATCCACTTTATGTAACGGATACATATAGTTTGGCATACAGTTTGACAGTAGGTCATTTCAATAAAGTTTGATTCCCTTGGAAAAGAACTCATCTCATTATATGACAAAAGAAAATAATAATTGAATAAATAATATGCATACATGTAATGGAAGTAAGAAAAAAAACCCTCCTAGAACTGACGACCACCACCACCCCCCTCACACACACACACATTTGGTATAGGGAGGGGGGGTAATGGGAAAGAAAACAATCAATTTCTTCCTCAACAACAACAAAAAAAAACAACAACTTGGTTACGAAGAAAACTGTTTTCTTTATGAAAGATAGGTAGACAATTTTTTTTGAGTTTTAATCAATCCATATGAGTACCATAACCATTCATCTGTTTCATGGAACCATTCATCACATGAAATTGTTGCCTACCATTCTGTTGTTGCTGTTGGTGGTGGTGGACGTCGTCGTGGTGGTGATGTTGATGTTTCTCTAAACTTTTAGCTAATCGTTGTTTATGCCAATATGCTTTAATATAAAAATTAGTAAATAATATTAAGAATACAGTAGCATATAATATAATAGCAGCTGGGAATATTTTAGGATAGTTACATGTTGTTGAGGGTAGAAATAATTGACCTTGATGAAGAATAAATATAATAAATTGAATCATTTGAGCTATAGTTAAATAATTTTTCCACCATAATAAATGATGTGCACCAGCCGCTGCTAATCCATAATATGTATACATAGCAACATGAATTAAACAATTCACTAATGGAAACATAAAAGTTATACCCCCTGAAATGTTTAACAACAACAAAAAAACACATACAGAATTAAGAAAATGGAATCATTTTTTTCAAAAGGGTTATAATAGTACAACAAATCAGACATCATTCTGATTAATGTAACGATTTGAAATGATGGATGGTTGTGCTTGGTCCTACGTTGTACATGACTGAATGAATGAATGTGACTGTTGATTCGCTTTAGAAACAACTAATTGATATTTTCATAGTTGAAAGTGTGAGTCAATTGAAGCTAGACAACCATGGAAAACCTGGAAGCACTGGAAGGCTGTTTTGTTCTATTATGGGACTCCTCAGTGGCAGTGCGCATCCACTATCCGGCACTTGCGAGATTCAAACCCAGGACGTACCAGTCTCGCGCCAGAGCACTTAATCGATAGACCACTGAGTCGGCATCCAACGGTATTAATGTCTAACTTCAACTGATATTTGTTTATTTGACTTCATACGGCTAATTGAGGATGTTATCGGTAACGTCACTAATGTTAAGTGAATGCGTTACATGTTATCGATTTCGGGCAATTTCCTAAATATTTAAAAGTGCATATGAGATTTTATTTATTTATCTATTTAAATACATAAATAATGTTACAAGAAAGCACCAGATAAATATGCGCCTCACAAATCTCATTTGATTTGTGTGAAGGCTGTGATACTGGCCAGGTGCCCAAACCGAAGCAAATGGTTTTCTTAGGACGCCAGATCTTAAGCCTTGGACCTAGAGATCTGATCCACAGGTCAGTGAAGCATCGTGAGGAGATGCAGTCCCATGGTAGCCGATGACCAACGATTGATTCATACGCCATTTGTTCCCTCAGGATACTGGAGCCAGTCCATTGCACCAATGGTTTTTAATCAGAGTTTTCCAACTCCCCTAGGTGGACGCGCCGTATCCACCAACCTAGTTAAAGCGCCGAGCATTCGCTTTTCCTCCTCTCAATTTCGTAAACAACACTCCGTTTGCTAGATGGCAGTGGGTAGGGCTTCCCTGTCAGAGGCTATATATATATATATATATATACTTCACCATGTGAGAGCATTTAGTGAGGGAGAGAGGATTCTCCCCAACCTTCGCCGTACCAGAGCATTTGATGGCAAAGCCTGGTGCAAAGTTATACTCCAAATAAATCTTAAACTGATTCAATCAGTCAGTCACAACGTAGAACTTCGTACATATGTACATACGTACGTACGTACGTATGTACATCAAATCGATTTCTCATACCATATTAGCATAGAGATGTAGTTATCGATTCAAACTACATCTTAAACTGATTCCAATTTAGTCTATTCATTAATTATGTATCTAATAGCTAGTTTAATGAATATATCTAGGTCAATTGAAATTGTATTAAATAGATAAATGATTGATTGTTGGTAATAGTTAATCATGTTCAATCATTCAATGAAGGGTATATAAGAAATGAATAAGATAAGATAACTACATAAATGTTGACCTGATTTAAACGGATTATACATTATTGATTAGATACATACAATTAGTTGATAAGGCATTTTGATTATATAAACTAGTATATATCGAAAGTTTAATTGTTGTTCAATCTTATCCGGTTTAAATAGATGAAGGGGTTGGATTACTCTCTTTATACATATATACAACAAAACTATATGGATGTGTTCATAGTAAAACTATGTTGAAACTGTTGATAAGTTACAATAAATGATATTGGGATTACTAACTTAGTTACTTACTTACACCTGTTACCCCTCGTGGAGAAACACAGGCCGCACACCAGTATTCTCTATCCAATTCTGTCCTGAGCAAACCTTTCGAGTTAACATTCATCCTTTTCATATCTACTTTTATTTCTCGGCATAATGTGTTCTTTGACCTTCCATTATTCCGCTTCCCTTCCGGATTCCAAGTTAGGAATTGCCTTGTATTGCACATTGGTGATTTCCTTAATGTATGTCCGATCCACTTCCAACGACTTTTCCTAATTTACTCTTCACATGGAAGCTGGTTTGTCTTCTCCCATAAAACGCTGTTGCTGATACTAACCGGCTAATGGATGTTGAGTATTTTGTGTAGACAACTGTTTATAAATACTTGTACCTTCCTGATGATGGTCATAGTAGTTCTCCGCGTTTCAGCTCTGTGCAGTATAACTGTCTTGACGTTAGTATTGAAGATTCTCACTTTGAAGTTAACTGACAGTTGTTCTGAGTTCCATATGTTATTCAATTGTAGAAATGCTACCCTTGCTTTGCCAATCCTCGCCTTTACATCTGCATCCGATCCCCCTTGTTTATCAACGATGCTCCCCAGGTACGTGGATGTTTCCACCTCTTTCAGAGTTTCGCCATCAAGTGTGATTGGGTTGGTGTTCTCCCTGTTGCATTTGAGAATCTTGCTTTTTCCTTTGTGAATGTGGAGGCCTATCGATGCGGAGGCTGCTGCTACATTTGCTGTCTTCATCTACATTTGTTCGTGTGTATGAGAGAGGAGGGCTAGGTCATCTGCGAAGTCCAAATCATCTAATTGATTCTGAGAAGTCCATTGTATTCCGTATTTCCCCTCAAATGTCGAATTCTTCATAATCCAGTCAATCACTAGAAGGAAGAGAAATGGGGAGAGTAGACAGCCTTGTCTGACTCCGGTCCTTACTGGAAATGCATCTGTCAGCTGTCCTCCATGCACCACTTTGCACTGTAGTCCATCGTATGAGTTTTGGATAATGTTGACAATCTTTTCAGGAACTCCATAGTGTCGAAGAAGTTTCCATAATGTTCTCCGTTCCATGCTGTCAAACGCCTTCTCACAGTCAATGAAGTTGACGTATAGTGATGAGTTCCACTCAACTGATTGTTCAACGATGATCCGTAGTGTCGCAATTCGGTCTATGCACGACCGATCCTTACGGATGTTGGCATGGATCACATAAAATTACCATTCAGATCAGTAGTTTATGTTTCATTCCAAAATGTAGATCATGGTGAAAATCAACAAATATCTATGTTTTAGTAGATTCTATGCTCGATTGTCATTATTTTGGTGATGAACATAAATCCCAATGGAGGATGTGGAAACCTTTACATATCTGGGCAGCATCATTGGTGAACACGGTGGATCTGATGCAGATGTGAGGGCAAGGATCGGGAAAGCGAGAGAAGCATGTTTACAACTGAAAAACATATGGAACTCAAAACAATTATCAATCAACACCAAGATCAGAATTTTCAATGCAAATTTCAAGACAGTTCTTCTGTATGGGGCGGAGACGTGGAGAACTACGAAAGCCATTATCCAGAAGATACAAGTGTTTATTAATAGTTGCCTAAGCAAGCTACTTCGGATCCGATGGCCAGACACTATCAGCAACAAGTTACTGTGTAGACGACAAATCAGATTCCAGAGGAGGAAAAAATCAGGAATAAGCGCTGGAAGTGGATTGGGCACACCTTGAGGAAATCACCCAACTACGTCACAAGACAAGCCCTCACATGGAATCCTGAAGGTTAGAGGAGAAGAGGAAGACCAAAGAACACATTACGCCGAGAAATAGAGACAGACATGAGAATAATGAACAAGAACTGGATAGAACTAGAAAAGAAGGCCCAGGACAGAGTGGGTTGGAGAATGCTCCATTGGGAGTAACAGACGTAAATAAGTAAGTATGTATAAATCCCAATGTGTGTGATTCAATTTATAAATATGATTTGTTCTTCAGTTACTTAAGTAGGTTACAACCTCAGAGTATAAAATAGACGAGCTATAATATGATATCTGAGTAAAATTCTAGATTTTGCTGATACAAATATTATAGTTGAATTCATGAGTCAACTGAAGCTAGACCAACATGATAGACGGTTGCTCAGTTTTGTGGATTGGTTGAAGTTAAACATTAACACAGATGGATGCCAACCGGCTAAGTAGTTCTAGAGGTTAAGCGCTCGCGAGCGAAAGTGATAGGTCCTGTGTTGGTATCTGGCTAGGCGGGATCGTGGATGTGCACTGCCACTGAGGAGTCCCATACTAGGACGAAACGGCCGTCCAGTGCTTCGAGGTTTTCCATGTTGGTCCAACTTCAATTGACTTATGATTTCAACTACAAAATTACTTAAATCTTTAGAAAACCTTCTTTTGATTATACAAATATCACAAACTGATCGCTTTAAATAGGATAGACCTGGTCTACGATTGTTATCTAATTAATATCTTATTATTAACAACATTAAGATTTTATTAACGTCACAAACCAACCAAAGTTAGACATCCACTGAAAACGTGAAAGCACTGGACACCAGTTTCATCCTAGTGTCTAAAGGTTTGGCGCTTGCAAAGAGAGACACAAAGGTCCCGGTCTTGACGCCCGATAAGGTAATGAATGCGCACTGATGAAGAGTCTACCACTGAGATGAAACAACTGTTTAATGCTTCCTAGTTTTCAGTGGGGGTTAACTAATGTCGGTTTGTGATCTAACTAACATTCAACAAACTCCACAAGCCCACATAGTGATCATGTAAAGATCACTAATACAAAACTAGTGAATTATTACCACCATTTATTTGAATACTTGGATTTTTTAATTGGAGATTGAGTGAGTGAATATATTCTTATGATAGCTTATGTCGGTTCGCCCCCTTGACGCCTTGAGGTGAGTTGAGATAATGTAAAATGATATACATTCATATCAGATCATATATTTATGACTAAATGATTAACTAGTATTGCTCAAAAAAGAGGGAAATTGGTTAAGCGGCTATCTGTTAGTCAGTCGGGTACGACATAGAACCAGAGACGAATATGAATCTGCCCAATTCGTTACATCATATAATCACAATGAGACGGTAAAGTCAAAAAGATGGATAACAAAGGGTTCGTAATAATAAGAAAGGCTAAATACAAAAAATATGATCCAAACAGAAGAAATGGAATATGCAATTACAAAGTCTAAAGAAGTATTGAAATAAGATGTTTGTAAGCTACGTCATCTAAGATCGTTGAAAAACATGTCATGACAGTC